CCCCCCCCCCCCCCCACCCCACCCACGCACAACACACATTTATGAACTACCTCTCACATTTTCATTGCAGGAAAGAGGAGTTCAGCTTCATGGAAACCTTGAAATTGATGAGGAAACTCTGTACTCGTCAGTCTTTAGGGGGGTTGATGATAGTGGTTGTGATGATTGCGAGGACATATTATTGGATAAATGCAATGATGAAACATTTAGTACAGCCACAGGGGAATCATTCATCAGCACGAGCAGCAAAAAATCTAATGATGTTCAAGAACCAGCACAAACTTCGTCCATGGTATAATTCTGTTCAGTGATATCTTATGGTTGGTTAGTTTGATTCTAATTTCAGCATAAAAATGAGCATTTTTACTTCTTAGGTATACTTTGATGTTTTTTTTGTGACCAAGGATTGGATAAAAATACTAGGAACTTACAAAAAGCCATATTTTGAGCTAGTAATTTTCAATGATTGAGTGTCTTACGGGTATTCTTTCATCAGGGAGAATGATATAGAGCAGATGAGTAAGTCCATGTCTTGTGTATCTAGTGTCAATATAGGTCAACTTCAAATTGCGGCTCATTGCACATAACCAATTTTAGACATACCGTTTTCAGTTTTATCTAGTGATTTAAAAGAGCAAGGTGTAAATAGTTCTCGGACGGTCTTAAAAGGAAAGTAGTACAAATAAGATGAGACTTGTACAACATATTAGTATTAGAATTCTCTATGAGTTCCGAAGTGCGATGGTTAGTTTTTATCTATTTGAGTTGTAATGTGTAGGATGAAGCTCGATTGTCTATATCGAGTACTCGTGGGGATATCTCTTCAGCTTTTTATAACCAGGCTAAAGATTATCAGGGAGAATGTGTTAATGCTATGAATGACAGAAGGTTTCGCTCGTATTCATTGTATTTATAGCTTTTATCAATTACTAGACTCTTTTTGCTCAAAATACTACTAATGAATTACGTAGTATTATATAAACCATTCACTTTACAGCTTATTCCTACCCACATAATAACACAACTCATATTCACACTTTAGAGTTCTAATTTCCCTATCTTTTCTGTATAAAATGCGTTTTGTACTATTATACCATTGTAATATCACTACAATCAGACTCAACAACAACAACAACCCAGTTGGATCCCACTACAATCACTCAATACAAATAATTGTTTTCTATTTTTTTCTTCTGTTTTTTTCTCTTAAGCTTCCGCCTCCATGGCAGGTGGTTGCTCTCGCCACTTTCCTAGCCTTAAACTCTAAATGTTTAACAGCTAGTAAATTGTGTCTTTTGAATGGAGTTTCATAGTAATTATTTTATGTTGTTCGAATGTCTCTAATTGAGAGCCCTGTTACAGCGTTCATGATATTCAGATTACTGAAGTAACTGAACATACTGGCGGTAATTGCTCAACCGAAATTACTGGAAGGAAAATGGTGAGACTAAATCTTATTTCTTGTTGTGTAGTTTTCTTTTGACTTCATTTTACAGCTTGTATCTTGTTGCTGATAAAAGTACTTCAATTCTTTTAATTTGTGCAGCTGGCTGATGAGGGAGGTGAGGGGTTAAAACCTGAGGGTAACTATACTATATGATGTTAGGACCTGTTCTCTTCACCTGAAATATGTGATTTGATCTGAAATTTAAGATCTGGTTTGGTCTGAAGTGGTCTGGTCCTAATTTTTTTGGTTTGGCCTGAATGTTTTGTTCAGATCTGAATAAATGTTTTCTGGTTTTCTCTACATTTCTTGTATGAAATACTCCGTACAAAGGATAAGATTTAGCATGATCTGTATCTTTCTGGATTTGTCCGGTATGAAATTTTCTGGGCTGGTCCAATCCGAGTGTTTCTAGTCTTGTCTGATTTGGTTAAAGTAAGAATAAAAATAGTGAAATGAGTTAGCTGAACAAAAGAACAGCTTAGTGTTGTACTTCTAATGGAGTTCAATTAACAAAATAATGCTTCATAGATGGGTGATAGAACAATATTCCTCTTATCTTCTTAAATCTTTCTAAGCTATGAAATGGCTTGTTGATTTTTTTATCTATTTTTTTGTTTCTTTATTTTTCTGGGGCAGCTACCCGTGAGGACTTAATGTTATCCGAGGAAGCCAAAAAGGAACCATCAGATAAGAGTGAACTATCTTCAGATGTCAATCCACTTACTTCAGTGGCCAAGAACCGGGGGAAGATTAGGGGAATGTCACAGCCTGCTGATTTTAACACTTCAGTTTTATCCACATCAGGTGGAGGGGGTACTCCAGTTTCAGTTGATCCTGGATTATCAAGAAATTCGTCTGTGAGTTCATTGGCCTCAGAAAAATCAAGTTTGAATCCAAATGCTAAGGTAAGTAGATGGCAGCTCTCATTTTCTCCTCTTCGAATGAAACTTTCATTCAAATTATCGCTTCCTGTTAAAATATATCCACTAATTTGATGTTGATTTTTATGGAATAATTGTATGCATTACCCCCTTTGTTGTTTTAAATGAGTCCACTCACATGTGATGCTGATTTTTAGGTAATAAATTTATGTACTACTACAATCTCTGGCCGTTTTAAGCGTTGTTTTCATTCTTTGTCTCATTCCATAATTCTTACACCCTCCCTTTGACAAAGAAGTTTATGGTTTGACTTCACATAGTTCGAGAAAAGTGTTGAAATGTGAAAAATTTGTTGGTAGATTTTTTAGGGGAGAAATATCGTGAGCTATATATTCCTTTCCTGAAAAGAGATGGTGTAAAGTTTATTTTGAAACGGGCAGAAACGGAGTATATAAATTTAATTGTCAGGAGGGATTTATATGTGCCGTCCAAAATCATCATATCTTTATCCATACAGTATATATTGCAGTATCAACTACTCGATTATACTTTTTTTTAGTTTTCATGCCAGCACCCCTTAGCCCATACCTATTGGGATGGTGGGAGTAAGAGTTAACGGAATCTTATTTGCCTAATTATTTTCCATTTTTGCTGAATGCTAACAGGAGTTCAGACTAAACCCCAATGCTAAGAGTTTTGTTCCTTCCCAAGCACCTCTAACTCCTGCATCTCCAGTTTCTGACGGTTCTTTCTACTACCACTCAACAAATGTGACATCTGTGCAGCATGTGCATGGCATTGGAGTAAGTTATTTTGGCAATCTGTAGGAGTGGACAAGGTTGCTTGTGAATAGAGCTCAAGCTATGAATAACTTTGTGATGTCCCGTGGGGAGTTTGAATTTCTTTTTAAAGAGTGCAACTCAATATTCTTAAGTAGGTGTATTAAGTAAAAATCATCGATTTAGGAATTGAATGATTGAAAGTGTAAATCCAAGACTTGAAAGGTAATCTACCAATTCAAAATATAAAGTTATTAACTATGAAAACTATCAATGTAGGACTTGAATGAGTAAAACTTTGTCCAAGACATGAAAATCTGGATTTTCGTAATCACTTCTTTATCAAATTAAATAACTAACCTCTGAAGGAATTTTTATTATAAACAACATAAAACAAACTAGAAAAGTGATATTTACGGTTTTATGGTCCTTGAGCGACAGCTAACCAATCCTTTAGCTTTTTATTGTTGTTGTGGCTGGTTTTTAAATGCTTTTCTTAATGCAGTACTGACTACTGAGTAATTTTTATTAAAGACATTTTTATTGATTTCTAATGATGTGGTTTCCAGATGGGACCATCCTATGCAGGACATCATCCAGTTATACTTACCCCGCAGGTTGCTGCAACTTCACAACCATATTATCATCCAAACGGACCTCAGGTTTGTCCCATTCAAGGGTTTTATCATGAACAACTGAGTCTAATTTCGAACTGAAATGTGCCAAATTCTATTTTTATTTCTTTTGCAGTATGGGCAGCAGCAGGTGATCATGGGCCACCCTCGGCAAGTTGTCTATATGCCAACCTACCCTCATGTAAGAAATTGAACTCTGAGATGCTATCATCTGGTTGTCATTATCAGAATTTTGAATGATTTTTAAAAGTTTCTCGGTATTGCATCATTGGTCAGGATCAGAATGGTTGGGCTCTAAAGCCTCCCCACCGGTTCATTTATCTATTTACATTGATTTTTTGACCCTTGAACCTCTTAGGGTATCTTTGGATCATGAAAGTTGCAGAGGAAAACAATACAGTCTTTATGATTGATTTTGCTGGTTGTTCTTTATATGTTTAGCACTCTTAGTTTTATTACTTGAATAGATATTATGAGTTTGAACAAATGCCTGCATTAGACGTTTTTGAGTTTGAATTTATCTTTTATTTTCTCATACTTATATTTTATACCCTTCCCATTTTCGGTCTTGCAAAACACTTTGAGAGCTTCACATATCACTAACTTGCCTTGCGTACAATTAAACAAAATAAACGTCTCCATAAATGTATCTTTTACAAATTGGGTTAGAAGTAATCGGTATGCTGCTACTTTTGACAGGAAATGCCATACAGGAGAGGAGGTTTCTAAGCACCGGAGAAGAAGCCACAATTTATCTTCCAACTTTCCAAAGCTTTGCTCATTATGGAATACTCTTTGTTTTGCACACCAAACGGTTCTCTACTTGTTTCTACTGTGTTTGGTTGTGTGGGTGGTGGGTTTGGGGGGGGGGGGATTACCAGTTGGATTTGAGTCTCTTTATCACATTAAATTGTCCTCAAAATGTGCCATATAGATCAACTCTGTTTCCTACTTTTAGCATTTTTGTCTAAAACATCCTCGTGATAATGTGACACTATAATGTTTCTTTTGGAAAATAAGGTATTTAGTTGAATGTGATGGTGTTGCTCATTCGTTACCTAGAAATGCGTTGGCTTTGAGATCTGAGTGGGAGTTTACCCCACCGGACTTTGTTATGAATCTTTTGGAGTAATTTAAAGTATTATTCCCCATCATAGAGCACTTAATTTCTCTTAAATTTTGCCTAGATTCCTTGCTCTTGCTTTAATTTTTTTAAAATATGTCCTTGACCTACACATCTAGAACTGAAAATGAAATACAAAGTAGTTGATCACCCCGGTCTCATGAACCGGTCTAAGCCTAAAATACATAGTAAAATGGATGAAGATAAATTAAACTTTAGTCATACAAATCAATATAAAATGATATACAATTATGTGCAAAGAATGACATCAACATTAACTTTTTTATGTCTTACTTAACCAACAATACCAAGTAATTCGGGCTCTACAGACGGCGAATCAATGCTTGTCGTACTTTACAAAAGTTATATCCGATTGTTAAATTTTAACGACTGAGTTTTTTGATCTATCTTGATTATTAAAAGGTCAACAAATCAAGTTTTTCATTTTACTTCGAAAAAAAATCAAGTTTTCATTTTTTAACAAGGACAGCTGGTTCCACGCTTGATTATTTGGAATGGGTGGCAACACTCCCATAGTGCAATAAACTGTTTTATATGTGGCGATTTTCACAACATTATTTAGCAGTGTTAAGGGAACCCGAGTGAAATTAAACTAAAAAAAAGGTTATTTTTTTAAAAAAAAACCCAACAGGAAGTAAGGCGATTTAGTCATAGTCTCATAGAGTCGACATATGTGGGAGGAGGACAGTTGACCGCTGTCCGCTGCTGCAAACCTCACTTCACTCACTCTGTACTCTCTAGTACGGAGAGTAGTTTGTTTGTAGGCCGACCAGACCAACACGGGGCTCCGTATTTCTCAGTCGGGTCGGATAAAAAAGGGGCATTTGGGTAAACGGGCATCGGACTCATCTCTCCTCTCTCAAATCTAGTTAAACCCCTCTCCCTCTTCCAGATTCAAATCCGCTCCCCCTTCTCTCTCTCTCTCTCTCTCTATCAACCAAGAAACTAGCTTCATACTGTAAAAAGCCTTTTTTTTAAAAAAAATTTCCAGTAGATTTTCTGCCCAAAGCTAAAAGCTCATACCCGCTTCCACTTTCCATTTCTGTTTCTGTTTCCATATTTGCATACGTAAATTCGTTAGTCGAAGGTTTTTTTGGTCGGCCAGACAGAGAGAAAGGTGCGAAGAAGCACCATCCCTGGCGAAAATGGAGGCGGCTGTAGGAGGAGGAGTAGGAGGACCGTACAATCCTCGTACTGTCGACGAAGTGTTTAAGGATTTCAAGGGCCGGCGAGCCGGATTGATTAAAGCTCTAACTACCGGTGCTTTCTCAACCCTTCTCTTCTCTCGCTCTCACTTTCTTTTCTTCTTTTCAGAACCAAAATAAAGATCAAATTTTTTTCAGATTCACACAACAATTAACTTATCCGTTGAATTCAATCTTTTAGCGTGGTTTGGAATTTCATCATGTTATTGATTCTTTGGTGTTATTTGTTTCAGATGTCATGGAATTTTATCAGCAGTGTGACCCAGGTAAATTATTTATACATTAGGGTTTTTTTTTCTATCTTCTTGTTTCGCTCCTATGTGTTTTCCATATTTAAAGAAAACAAAAGAGTGAGAAGATGTGAATTGGTTGATGATAAAACAACAGAGAAGGAGAACTTGTGCCTGTACGGGTTTCCGAGCGAGCAGTGGGAGGTGAACTTGCCAGCAGAAGAAGTTCCGCCGGAGCTACCAGAACCTGCCTTGGGGATAAACTTTGCAAGAGATGGAATGCAGGAGAAGGACTGGCTGTCTTTAGTTGCTGTCCACAGCGACGCCTGGTTGCTTGCCGTGTCCTTTTATTTTGGTGCTAGGTTTGGATTTGATAAAGCCGATAGGTACTACTATGATTACTATCCTCCATCAATCAACCTATACTAATAATCTTTGCAATTTTTTCCCCTTCTTCTTTGTTTATTGTTATCATGATAAAGTCAGGTCTATTGCACTGCATTTAAATTCTTAGTTTACTTGGGCAGGTGTTTAGATTCAAGGAATTGAATTGAATTGAATTCTAGAATTTAAAATAATTGTAATTCAAGCTCCATATAGTTTGTGGAAGGGATTCTAAAATGTTAATGGATGAACTTCATTTTCGGATAGGTTGTGAAAGCCAAATCCAGATCTATATCTAAATCCAGAATTGTACCCCAAACATAGAATTTGAGTTCAATCCAGGATTTGAAATGCAATCCTATCATCCAAACATGACGAATCGAATTGTTATTCCGTGCAGGAAACGACTTTTCACCATGATAAATGACTTGCCTACAATCTTTGAAGTTGTGACTGGTGCTGCAAAGAAACAGCACAAGGAAAAATCTTCTGTCTCCAATAACAGTAGCACAAAGTCAAAATCCAATTCAAAACCGGTAAAAATTGAATCTTTCTACACACACAACGTGTACTCTGTCTGCATTAGCTAAGCTCTTTATGCCAAACTTGTGCCCATGTCCTTTTGTATGTCTGAGCCAAGTTTCTTGAATTGTATCATTTGCTTGTGGGTTTATTATTTCTTTTGCCCTTCATTAGGGGCAGCGGGCACCGGAAACTCAGGGAAGGTTCACAAAACCACCACCCAAAGAAGAAGATGATGATGGGGGGTTGGAGGAGGAAGATGAAGAGGAGGAAGATGAGGAGGAGCACGGAGAGACTTTGTGTGGTGCTTGTGGAGAGAACTATGCGTCGGATGAGTTTTGGATATGTTGTGACATTTGTGAGAAGTGGTTCCATGGAAAGTGTGTCAAGATTACCCCTGCCCGAGCGGAACACATCAAGCAATACAAGTGCCCATCATGCAGCAACAAGAGAGCCCGGCCTTGACCTCGACCTCGGCCCCCTTTCTTTTTATTTATCTCTTTATATATTGTGATAGAGAGACAATCTGTTCCTTTGTATTGGTGCCCTTCCTTTTTCTTTAGTTTAGCACAAGTAGTAGTAGTAGTCCATGTGAAAGTTTGAGGGTGGAACTCTGTGTGTTACTTTTAGAGATTATCTCTCCCCACAATTAACATTTACTTCAAAGTTAGCATGACAGAAAGCCCCCCAAGGCAAGATTTGTCCAAGGTCAATATGTATGTAATGTAACCTTATTCATCTAAAAAGCTTAAGAGAGTTTTTGTTAGACCCTTGAGACGATTTACTTGTCATTTACTTGTCCAAAACTTCAAAGGAAGTAAAATGTGCTATTTTGATTGAGTTTAATGCTATCTATAGTTAAAACATTGTATGAATAGATTCAATCTAGTGGTCTACTGTCTGATGGAATGATTCACACCATTCTAAATTATCCTTTTTAAAATGATCTTCCACTTGTTTTTTTTCTACGTCCAAAAACTATCTTCTCACTTCCAAAAAAGATTATGAAATGCCTATTATACCCCTTTTATCTTTACTTCGCCTAACCATCCCACCCTTAACTATAGTTCATCTAGTATGTATTTTGAAATAATCGTGTTAATTTTGAAATCTCGGAATATTTATCTAAAATGACATAAATTTGGTACTATTAGTATGCATATTTCTTTTACTTTTTTTTTACTCTTATACTTTTTTTATTGCAGAAAAGAGGAGTTCAGCTTCATGGAGAGAAGAGAAGGGTTGAGATTGAGAATTTACACTGATTTTCTATTTAAAAAATCAGGGTCATTGTCCCTGAGTTTTGATATTGCCCAGTCTCATAAATTTCGGTGATCTGCCAATGATTCTTGCAACTTTTTATAAGAAGAAGACTAAATAAGAATAAAACATTGAAAATATCCCAAAATAGGACTTCCGTCTTTTTATTCTCAAAATAGGAATTAAAATGCATTTACATTATCAAAGATGGTCATTTACATTACCAAAAAGTATAGTAATGAGCACATGTACAGTGTCACATTACCAAAGTGCGAAGTCCTGTTTCGAGAATAAAAACAAGGAACTCTTATTTTGATACTTTTTTCTATGTTTTAGTTCTATTTAGGGAGATTTCTAACTTTTTATCTTATTTGTCTCTCCCACTATTTTTGTAAGTTACCATATTTGGCTATTAATGTAGGATTTACATTATTTTTTATTTTATCTTCTTTTGAAAAACATAATATTATGGAGTATAATTTTATTTTTAAAAAAAAATTAGTTGGAAAGAATAGTTGAAATGGTCAACATAATTAGTGGGTTGGAAAGAATAGTTGAAATGGTCAACTCATTTTTTTTTTCAAAACGTGGATTTAAATTTTAAACAAGGCATTAAAAGTGTAGAAGAAGACAAAGTGGAAGATAAAAACTCGACCAGCTGATTGTTTTTCCAACCTTCCTCCCTCATTCACTCCATTTTACCTCCATTTTATTAGAACAAAAAAGTCACACTCATGATATGTCAACTCTTTTCTCTAAACTAACAATCTATGTCAAAAAGGTTAGAAACTTAATCTTATGGAGGGTAGATTAGGATATTTGGATATATATATTTATTAGTTATTACTCCCTCCGTCCCATAATATTTGTCTTTTTTCATTTTTACACACCATCCAATACATTTTTTTAATCTATTTTATCTTGTAATTTGTATATTAAAAAATTATAGAAATTATATATTAATAATCTATATGTTAAGACAAATCAAACAAGATCACAAATGACTATATTTATACTTACACATTGAGAGAATTTGATGAATCAAAATGCTTAAATTAACAGTTCCAAAAGTCAAAAGTGGACGAATATAGCAGGACGGAGGTAGTATTTATTTAATATTATTATTATTATTACTTAATGTAATATACATTTTATAGGTGAGTGAAATTTTACGCTTTTCGAGAGTTTCTTTTCGATTTTTTACCTCGATGCATTGATTGAATTGGCATGACTAGAATTAGGGTTTCTACTTTTCTTATACATAGAGAGGTAACACTTGAGAACAATCA